CCTGGAGAAGGACTAACAAAAACAGGATTCACTTGACTTCTAACCTGGTCCCTTGGGAACAGAGAATCAGGAGAAATAATATCCATTAAGTCCAGACCAGTGTCCCACAGGTAAACCAGTGCTCAGAGCCGGGAACAACAGTGTAAACAGTGCCTAATGAGTAGATAAAAGTATATGAAAGTATCTCCTTTCCTGTGTGTGCAACCTTGGGCTTTACAGGACGTGTTTATTATTTTGAATTCCTAAGTCTGGTTGAAGACCAATGCTTCACTCCTTCCTGCTGTCTTTTCTGATGACAGAGCTTCAGTCCCCATTATCAATTATCCAGGAAGAAATTCAGGCTTCCACACGGAGTCCTACCTCTGAGAAGCCCTATCCAGGTGAGTCTGAGAGCCCAGCAAGTACTGCTATAAAGGGTCAGAGAGGAAAGAACCTGAGAACTTCTACTTGAGAGCCTCACGAGCCTCACCTAGAGCCCAGAGATGGCCATCTATGTTTGCTAGGTAGACTAATTGATTTATTTAATATATTAAACTTCAGATTTTTCTGCCAACTTTGCCGTATAGCATTAAATTGCTTCATACAAGTAGAGATGTATTTGGGAAAAGTATGAAATTGAAAAAAAATGGGGGGTCAATTCTAACAGTCTATCATATTGTGTTTCCTGCATTATTTTTAAATGTAAAAACTAATATGTCATCACTCATGTTTTGCATTCATTCGTGATCACCTGTATCCTTTTCTGAACATATCTATATCTATTTATATTTACATAGGTAGAAATTATAACACTAGGCACTTCTTCCAGTGCTTTTCAAAAGTCTATTTTTATATTTTTCACTTTAGGTTGTTGCCAATTATCTGGAATTAGAGACCCATATCGATGTGATTAATTATTTTATTTTATTATTTTATTTTAAAATTAGTCTTACACATTTATTCAAGTTCACTTAATACAGTTATTAAAATCCATTATTTTAACCTGCTTATATTTTCCCATTCCCCAACATTTGTTCTGTTTAAAGGCGCATACTTGTGAAACCACATAGCGAAGCAAAATAAGTGAGGTCCATATTCATTGGATATCACATTGCAATGGAGAAGGCCCAGTACGATGAAATGAGTGTGGTATGACATCATTTTCTCAGCAATAAATGTGTGAAGAAAGAGGACCCATAATTGTAGCATCAGCAGGATTCTATAGAATATTTCTGGGGAGTCTTTACATGTTGAAAACAGAACAGAACAAGGAGTAGTGTACCCATCAGATATGTCATGAAAGAGGTCAAAACTCAAAGCCAAGAATAATAAAAGAAAGAGTACACAAGAAAAGTGAGCGAAGGGTCAGCCTTATGCACTAGAGGGCCATATAAAAACAAGGTTCGTCAAATAAACATGAAATAGGTACAGGAATAACAATTAGATCAGGGCTGAGGTGGACGTTGTGTTGAGGTCAGTGGGACAGTAAAGGTCCAGTCCGTATGAGTTCCCTTGAATGCAAGGAAACTGCATCAGCCATGCCAGCTGCCTCTTCTCTCTGCTGGGCTCTTTCATTCTTGTTGCTTTTCTTCATTGTCAGGAACTGATCTTCCAAAACGAATCTTGCATTTATTGCGGTGGATTCCAGATTTTCCTGACTTTGTCCCAAGGTAAGACAAGCCTGTTACATTGTAATTCACCATGCTTTCACACACACACACACACACAGCAACACTGATACACACACACAAACACGCATGTACACAACTGACAAAGAAAACCATGAAACGATTATCTGTGTAGCCTCACTGAGTATGATGCACTCTCATATTTTCTATTGTGCCTTCTTTATTCTATTCTATTTAATTCTTACAAACCATAGTCTGACACGCTACTGGATCCTGATATAGAATATGGAGAACATTCCTCTGGCATGTCCTTCACACTTAGGTCAGTGTTGCCTGCTTGTCGTCCTTCTCTCATCATCAACGATCTCTGTAAGAACGTTCTCCTATCCCTCTATGGAATATTTATTTATTCAGCTACTGCTAACAACTCAGCTAAGTCTGGTGGGAGGGTGGTGATGTGTATAACATGCTGTATGCCTCACCACACTCACTGTGTATCAGGGAGAAAAGACATAGAACTAAATAAAAATTACACCATGGACATCTTAATACATAATTAACTTGATGAGAAAGTATCCTTTTCCTGTGATAATGTTCAGAAAAAGAAAGGCTCATGAAGGAGAGGATGCAGGCAATCTGAAAGAGGACATGGAGTTTGGAGGATGGAGAAGGGGCGAAAAGTTCCAAAATGTCTCCTGGGAGACTCCGAGCAAGGGAAGTGTTTGTATAAAGTCTCTGAGCTATGTAGCTGTGGTGCCAGGTGAAGATGGGAGTTAAGTTCATCGTTTGGGAGATTAGTGTGAGCATTGGAAGGGCTCTATGTGACTGAAGAGGATGGAAAGGTCACAGAGACTTGAGCCTTTTATTTGAAGCTATAAAATTTTATATTCTATCTCCATTAAGGAGTCACTAGGATGGAGTTTAATGTGGGAGTTGTCGATATACAGAGATCTCCATCAGTCAATGTGATTATCTGATTAGAGGATATCTAGCCTGTAGAAGATAAGAGAGATGACAAGAAACTAAAATGTGGTCAAGGAATTGGGAACCTAGAGTTGGGAAAGCAATAGACACATTAGAGGTGAAAAATAATAATAATCATAATGATCAGCCTTCTCTCATTGCAGTGATAATTATTTATTTACCAACAGGAAATAAGTGATTAACTTTGCCAAGCATGTTACACATATTGTTCAGACCTGTCACCATTTGAATTGATATCAGTATCTACAATATTTGGATGAGTATATTAGCACTTAGAATGTCCAGTTGTCTTTCCTCATTCAAAAAACTAAGAGGTGATAAAGCTCAGAATTAAAACCAAGTTTTCTAATTCCCAAGGTTTTGTACTTAATATTATTTACTAAAGTCTTATTTCAGTTTTTAAAAAACCCTGGGTTTTTTTCCCTATACATTGTATGGGGTTTTTTTTGTAAATCATAGGTTTATTCTTTGCAAATCTTCTAGTAAGGTGTTTGATCTGTAAGGGGTCTTGACGTCATGAAGATACTGCTCTTTCTGTTCAGAATAAATTGTTATTTGCTACTTCATTGATTATTCTGGGTATAAGGCAAAATACCTGCATTTGGCATTTCACCAAA